CTAGGTTACTGACCAAAAGTTTTATATGTCAAGGCAGTATTAACCGTCATGTAGCACAAATATGCTGTTACTTTGAAAGTCGGGTCAGCCGAAAAGCTTGCAGCCACCGTGCGTACAAAACTGAGATTCTGATGGCAAAAAATAAGTTCGCAATTTAGTTGATGCAGTTAAGAAAAATTCGGTGGCCTCGATGGGCTTTCAACTTACGATAACACAGTTGAGCTCTGAGTAGAGCTAATGCTCTAGCCAACCACGCTACGAGGGCCAAACTTCCGTATTTTGCTGATCGAGTTCCATTTGGAACGCACAGAAGGTTATTGGGCGTTAATACCTTCCAGCATAATTAAATAACAATCAGGTTTCCCCTTACCAAGTGAACTGCGAGCAGTTTCCTTCTAACCTGAGCAGTGATCTAGCTTAACTTTGGCCTTGAAAGCGTAAATATTATCTGGAAGACTCGCGCTGCTCCGAATCGGCTTGAGATCACTGCTGAAAACCGAGTATTTTGGACATTAAAGTTGCCAATCTGCTAAACTATAACTGCCCTGCTAATTGTCGCAATATGCGTTTTTATACGAGCCAAAACGACTGATCGGGATTTCAGGAAGTATGCGCCTCGGGATTTAGCTGCTAAGTTTAGTCCGTCCTGATACTTTCACAACGGCGACTGGAGATCGTTCTGCAGGTAATGCTCAGCTTAATCCAAGATAGTCTACGTAGTTGCCTATGGGTATTTTTGTTGTTGTTGTTGTTGTTGTTGTTGTTGTTTACTTTTCACATCATTAGTAACATATTTGTAACTCAAATATGCTGGGGCTATTAAGTTCAGTTCAACCTAAACAGTACAAATCAACAGCATGTAAAAACCGGAGATTTCCATGACAAAATTAGTTCTACATTTCGGCGGCTGTAAGGAAAGGCTTGTAGTATGGACAGCGTTCCAGCCAACTGCGCTCCGAGGCCCAAAGTCCGTAATTTTCTGATGGACCTCCACACAGAAAGCAGTTACGTATAATCGCTTCCAGGCTCCCTGAACCACCTGCACTGTGCGCAATTTCGTTCAAAACTGAGCTGTGAACTAATGAAGTTTGCCTTCGCTAACAGGAATCGTAATTCCTAGGTTCGCGCTAGAATGCTATCAATGCGCCACGAGTTAAAAACTGCTGCCGAAAAGCGAATTTATCTGAAAATATAATTGTCATTATGCTAAATGAATATGGGCTCTGCAAGTTATTGCTAGATGCATTTTTATACGGACAGAGAAGACTAGTTGGGAATTAAGGTATATTGAGGAAAACGATGCTCTTGCTTATATTATGAAAACCTCAAAATTTCCGTCTGGATCGCATAACTCCATAGGTGTAAAAGTTTTGTGTGCCAGTCTAATTGGCCATATATAAAGTTCAAATTCCGGACATTTATCTGAAATGAAATATTTAAACATACGTTTGTGATTATTACAGGTCACACCAACGATATTTAACAGAGCTGCCTTATTGAATATTGGATTCAGAGAGGCCGTTAGAGCAGGCAATTATAGCTGCTTTATTTTCCACGACGTCGATCGCCTACCCGAGGATGCCAGGATGATTTACGGATGCGAGGATCAACCACTTCATATGGCTGTACTGACTGATGAGTTTAATTACACGTAAGTTTTTTCTTTTCCTACGTCCTGTCTGCTGCATTTGGCTACTGGGATTTAATTATTCTTAGTAGTGGTTAATTGTTAGTCGGACTCCTTGAAACTCGTAGGAAAGAGGGGTATCGAAAGCTTTCCCCATGTGTACATTTGACCGCTTCCATTGTATACTCTCGCAAAGGGTGTGTTCTTAAGTCAATGTTATGTCTCAGTGCGACCAATCAGCGATGAACGAATATCGATCATCAGCACGACATCAAAAGGCTGAGGGGGCATCATACACAACAGATAGGAAGATAGGAGGTACAGTCACGGTCGTCACGCCGAGAAAACTGCATGAAACGTCGGCTCCTGTCCCAATGAAGCTTACATCCAAGCTATTTTGTTCACATAAAGCTGGCTCAGGCATTGACCCTATTATTCAATGAGTTATACAAGAAGCCATGCTTATAACAGTGTTCAAATGAGATCTAGCTGTGCCTGCAATTCCGCAGATATTGTGCCTTTTTTAAATGATAGCATCACAAGCTTATCTCACCTGGCTATGTTTTTGACTTGTATCCCCAACACAAGCGAAGATCCGACTTAGGGACAAATAGAAACGGCTAACTAGTCTTAATTATCTTAAAAAGTCTGGTTTTCGCACGCAGTATGAAATCACAGACATTCAAGATTCGGACAAAACCTTTAATCCTGCAGTTTAAATGTAGGTTAGTTATG